TATATATATACACACACACACACACACACATATATATATATATATATATATATATATATATATATATATGCAGTTTTTTAATTTCTTTTATTTATTTATTAATTCTAAAAAAATTACTTCATATAAATTTATAGATATAGGGTGCCACCACCATTAAAAGAACTGAGAACCATCACCACTAAAAGAACCAACGAACACCACCAGCACCTCATCCGCCGTCAAACACCACCTTTTTCACCGCCAAACACCACTAGTTAAGTCTGAATAAATTAATATCAGTTCTCACGTAATTTTTTTTGCATAAAGATTTTAAGTTTATAAACCGAAGTCGGTTAATATCCATTCAATTATCGAAATAGTATGATCCATGTTTTATATAACTATGTGAAATTTATTCAATCTTGAGTTTGAATAAATTAATAAACCTGAGTCGGTTAATATTAATTTCAGTAATTTAATCTAAATTGTATGATTCATGTTGTATATAACTATCTCATATTTATTCAATATTGGGTTTGAATAAATTAGTAACAGTTCTCGCATAAATTTTTTGTATAAAGATTTAAAGTATATAAACCCGTGTAAGTTAATATCCACTCATTTCTCTCTCTATACTTTAAACATTGAGTATGTTTGTAACTCATATATAAAAGAACTGCATAGGCGCATACATAAATTGCATGTTCTTGAAACATAAAATGTAGTAGGACTTCCAATTCTTTATTACTAATAAACATATTTCACTTAATAAAATTACATCTTAAAGCAGTAGATGGTGGTAACTGTCGATTGCCAACTTCAGGGTCTAATGGTTCCCGCGACCGGAGGAGTGGATGTTGTAGTGACCGGTGGTGGGGGTGATGTGCTTATAGGAAGTGAGGGAATAAGAGGAGGGAGTGGAGGCAATGGAACTGATGGAATTAGAGGAGGCAATGGCACTGATGGAATTAGAGGCGGTAATGGTGGCAATGGATTTAGAGGAGGCAATGGCACTGATGGAATTAGTGGAGGCAATGGCGGCAACGGTATCAATGGAGGCAATGGCGGTAATGAAATTAGAGGAGTCAATGGCGGCAATGGATTGAGATGAGGTAATGGAATTAGAGGAGGCAATGGCACTGATGGAGTTAAGGGAGGCAATGTCGGCGATGGCATTGAGGGCGTTGGAAGTGATGATGGGGCATCGGGGAAGCCATTTGATTGCGTAAGTGGAGGGACCGGTGGTAAGAGGCGGCTTGCTGCGGTTGCTTGGAGGTTGCTGGAGAAAATGACAGTTAAAAGGAGAGGGAGAAGGACGAG